TTCTGCCTTTCCCCCTCTGCGTCCCAGGCGCCTTGATTCCTTTGTTTAGAAAGAGTCCGAACTCTCCTTTCTGCTCAAGGACCGAGAAGTCGCGCCCCAACTCCTCCGGGCCATCTTGCTGGGCTACAAGATTGTGCTTTTCATCAGGGTGCATGGCTGACGGGACCAGGGGACAAATTGGCATCCAGCCCTCACCCCATTCGCCAAGTCGTGCGCTCTGGAGTGGAGTTGCGTCCAACTGTGGGGAGGCCTAAGTCACAAGAAGGACACCACAGGGGCAGGTGTCCTCGTGCCCTTACGGACAGAATCGGGATATTTAGCTCTTCACCAGATCTTTGCTCAGTGCCCACTTTGTGCCCGACCCTTTGCTGAGTGACCAAGACAGTTCTGGAACCTGCCTTCAGGGGGCTCCCAGCACTTCAACAGAGTGACAGCCCAGAAAGCAGCACAGGCAGTGACCAGGGCTGGGGTGGAGGATGCCCAGAGGAGGCAACTACTGCAGCCTTTGAGAAATCAAGAGCTTCTGGAGAAAGGAAATAACTGAAGTGAGAGAGGAAGGATGAACAGGAAAGAGCCAGGGTCTCTTTTCCAGGCAGAATCACAGATCCACACCTTCACTGAATGGGGGGGAATCTTTCCTTCCCTGCTCCCTCTGCTTCCCTGCTTCCCTGCTCCCTCTCCACACCCCCGTCTCTGACTGCCTTCTGGAAGGCAGCCCTGACTCCTGACCACATCTGACTGGCAAAGGAGTGGGGCCCGGGGACCAAGACACACCCAGATGGTTCTATTTATAAAACTGTGGCAGCTCTTGGGAAAGAGCCCAACTTAGGGGTTAGAACTCACAGGAAGAGACACCTGATAATACAACAGCAACAGTAGGGGCCAGTGATCAAAGGTCCTATGGACACATGAGCTTGTATCTCAACCCCTCCTCTATTATTCCTCTATTAGTCATTAAACAGATGAGAAATTTTAGGCTTAACAATTGAGTAGTCACAAAACTGGTAAGGTGTGACCATGTGAACATGAGGCAACACAAAGCTAAAATACTTGCTTAGTAATAGAAGTATTCAGAAGATGAAAAAATAGTGATGGAGCCTGAAGGACAGAGGCTAAACCAGAGGTTCAGAAGAGGAATGGGGACCACTCACGAAGAAAGCCCGCGACTAAGCCAGGACTCATAACTGAGAGACTAGAACAGTCCTCAAGGTCCCCAGAAAAGGCAATGCCTCGACAGGAAAGGGAAAGCCACAGTGACAGAGTCACTTGCTGACAGTCTTCCGGAGTGCTGTCATTGCCCAGAAGTCACGCAGTTATCTTTGCCTGAGATAGTGGAGGAAAGTGTGGGACAGAAAATGGGAGGCTGCAGGGGAGAGAAATGGGGAGACCGAGTGAGATACATGGGGTACTGAAAGACAAAGAGAGGAGAGACTAAAGAAGCTTAATTCTCCGGGCTTCTCACTTGCAGGTGTGCCTGGGTGTGCTGTGAGTTGCTGGGGGGTGTAAAGTGTTTTGGGAGAACTGGGAAAACCAGATCGCAACACAAAGCATTTTTTTTATCATTTTCTGGGGAAATATGTAAAGAGATATTCCTACAGACATCTTGGTTCTTACCCCCTAACTTGCTGAGTATTCTTTTCTCACTCTAAACATTCACTTTAACACCTAAGATCTGCCAAAACTGTAAAGGGCAGAGCCCGCACCACTCCGCTTAGCCCCTCGGAAATACAAATGGACTTCTTCCCTGCTCCACACCCTTCCCTGGTTCCCGCGTGCTCTCAGAGACCCAAATTGAGCATCTCTCCAGGGAGAACTCCATTTCCCATCCGCCTCTTCGCTCGACACCTACATTTCCCATCATGCACGACACCGTCTACTCCTAAGATCGCTCCCAGCCCCGCCTTCCTGCCGCCCTGGTCTGGACTCGAGGCTTACGTCACGGGCCTCCAGCCCTCCCCTCTTACCCACAGCGGACGCGGCCAGGCTTCCACGAGAGGGCGTGGCCTCTGAACGATCGTAACCCCCATTGGCTGTCGCGTCGCTGGTGGGACGTGGCTACGGAAGCCGGGCGGGCACATTTCGAACCGTGGCTGGGGCGGCGGCGGTAGCAACGAAGGATGCATCCAGCTGGCTCCGCGGCGGGGACTCCCCGGCAGCGTAAGGGGCGTACGTGGCCCGCCGAGGTGATAAGGCGGGCGGGGTGTGGCGGGGCCGCCGCGGCGGTTGGCGAGGTCGCTGCAGGTCGGAGGTCAGGAAGTCAGGGATCTGGAGCTTCGAGGTGTGCACCGCGCCAGGATGCCAGCTCCGGGTAGGGGCGCTTTGGTGTCGATTTTTTTCCCCTTAGGATATTTTTTTGAAAGAAAACAACTTTGGGCAGGATACTGTATGATGAGCAGAAAAGCGCGACTTTCATTGATTTTGCCGTAAGCAATCATTCTCCTTACCCCTTCGTAGCCTCGGGCTGTCGCCTATGCCCTAGGACAGGGTTCGTAGCCCTCCATGAGTGAAGAGGACCATGGTTATCCCTTATTTAAGATTTGAACCTGTGTTTATTTGGCTGTTAACCTCTTTTTTTCCATCTTTGCGAATTTGTATGTCTAATCTCCGTGAATGTGCGTGCATCTCATCTATTCATTCAACATATCCTGCCTCAGCTCCCCTGTGCCCAGCCCTGTGCTGGAATGTGGGTACCTGGTAGTGACCAGCAAAGCACCGGTCATTGTTAACTCTTGTTTGTTTCTGAGTTTGGTGGGAAGACAGCCACTAAACTCAGAAACAAACAAGGCAGCCTGATAATTTGGGGACTAATTAGAGCCATAAAGGGAATAATCAGGATGTGTTGAGGGAGACAGTGTGATGCGCCCATTCCTCCCTTCAAACATCAATAAGGTGCCTGGCTGGTCCTGTGGTAGGTGATGCTGGAGATACAGCCCAACAGGTTCCTGACCTCATGGAGCTACCAGTACAGAGCAGAAGACAGCAGCAGGCTTGAGTGACGGACATTCTGATGAAAGAAGCAGCACAGGCAGACGGGTTAGAGCAGCCGTGGGCAAACTACTGCTGCGGGCCCAGATCCGGCCCATTTGAAATGAATAAAACTATTGAAAAAAAAGACCATACCCTTTTATGTAATGATGTTTACTTTGAATTTATATTAGTTCACACAAACACTCCATCCATGCTTTTGTTCCGGCCCTCGGTCCAGTTTAAGAACCCATTGTGGCCCTGGAGTCAAAAAGTTTGCCCACCCCTGGGTTAGAGCCAGGGGGAGGGAAGCACAGTCAGACGATTATGGCTGGGATGGAGGTGTTGTGGGAGCCCAGATGAGGCATGTGACCCAGCCTGGGGGTGTCAGTGAAGCTTCCTGGAAGAGGTGCATCTAATTAGCCCAGAGAAGGGGGTTTGTAGTGAGGGAAAAGCATTGGAGGGCTGTGCTGAGTAAACAAGTAGACAAAGTGAATTGTGATAAGCGCTCAGAAGGGAAAAGAGAATCACTGGATATTATGAGAAAGAACAAGGTGTGGCTAGTGTTTGTATTGAGGAAAGAGAAAGATCTCTGAGAAGGAAACATTTGAGCTGAGGCCTGAGTGCAACATTGGCAGTTGTCAATAGTGGGAAGGTGTTCCAAGGTGATGGATGTTCAAAAATCTGGGCGCCCTGGCCGGTGTGGCTTAGTTGGTTGAGCATGTCCCAGGCACCCAGAGGTCACTGGTTCGATTCCTGGTCAGGGTGTATGCTCGATCCCCAGTATGGGGCTTGCAGAAACAGCCGATGGATGTTTCTCTCATCGATGTTTCTTTCTCTTCCCCTCCCTAATCAAGAATATATATATGTATATTTAAAAGCCTGTGGGGGGCTAGGAGCTTGGCAGGTAAGATGTCTGTAGGAATATCTCTACATATTTCCCCAGGCTTAACAAATGAGTAGTCACAAAACTGGTAAGGTGTGACCATGTGAACATGAGGCAACACAAAGCTAAAATACTTGCTTAGTAATAGAAGTATTCAGAAGATGAAAAAATAGTGATGGAGCCTGAAGGACAGAGGCTAAACCAGAGGTTCAGAAGAGGAATGGGGACAACTCACAAAGAAAGCCCGCGAATAAGCCAGGACTCATAACTGAGAGACTAGAACAGTCCTCAAGGTCCCCAGAAAAGGCAGGAGCTTGGGGAAATATGTAAAGAGATATTCCTACAGACATCTTGGTTCTTACCCCCTAACTTGCTGAGTATTCTTTTCTTACTCTAAACATTCACTTTAACACCTAAGATCTGCCAAAACTGTAAAGGATCTGAGAGGAGGCCATTGTGGCTGAGGTGCAGTAAGCCCCAAGGAGGGGTGAGGTAGTAAAAGAGGGTGGTTAGCAGGGCTGGGTCCTGCAGGGCCTCATAGGTGTTAGGATTTTATTCTAAACACAGTGAGCCCTGATCTTAGGCAGAAGACAGGAAATGTTCTCTTTTGCACTTAAAAAGATCGCTCTGGCTGCCCACTGGAGAGAACGTTGGTGCAGCTAAGAATGGACAGGAGGAGCCAGGGGGAGGACATTTAAGTCAGGTGCAAGATGACATAGTCTGAGAGGGAAGGGTAACATTGAGACATAATGGGCAAGAATTAGCGATTGATTGGTTGGATGCCAGACGGAAGGGGAATCGGGGGCTTGGAGATGGCGGTTAGGGCCCAGGGGCAACCAGAGGCCATTGCCAAAAAGTGGCCTACCTGGGTCTGGCTACAGGAGAGAAGTGGTGGCCAGAGACAGAGCCCAGAGCCTAAGGCACACTGTGAAATTTGTGGGTGTGGGTGAGATTGCCCTAGGTGAGGACAGAAGACAGGGCAAGGGTGGAAAATTGGGTCACACATTCTAGGGAGCTGGAAATAAGTCACCGATTGAGAGAGACAGATTGGGAAACCATCAGCTCCATGAAGGCAGGAGTTTTTGTCCCTTTGATCATTGCTACCTACATCAGAGCCCAGCACAGGAGGGTGCTAAGTAGGTATTTGTGGGCCTCAGACAGAAAAGAGAAAAAGACAGGCACAGTGTCTCAGAAGCCAAGAGTTGGAGATTGACATTTGGGGCAATGCACCTAGTGCTGTGAGGACTTGAATTGGATGAGAGCAGAATAATGGATCCGACCTGGTGGTGCAGAGAGCCTTTAGG